GCCCCCCACCACACTGGTTCTCGTCGGAGCAGTCGCTGCAGTCGCAGGTGAAGTCGCAGAGCTGCTCGGCTGCGCTGCTGCAGCTGTTGACAACCGTGGACCCACCGGGGAAGATGGTCCCGGCTACGGGGGAGACAACCGGGCTGAAAACGAAGTCGCAGAGCTGCTCGGCTGCGCTGCTGCAGCTGTTGACAACCGTGGACCCACCGGGGAAGATGGTCCCGGCTACGGGAGAGACAACGGGGCTGAAAACCCTGCGAGGATCCGGGCACGGTGCCCGCAGCGGGTGACCGAGGACACACGTGGCCCGCAGGTGACGTTTGTCTGGGCTCCCTGGTTTGGGACGCTGCTGGGGGGTGTGCTGAGCTCTCAGCAGCATCGTCCCTCGGACGGGCCCCCGCCACTGCCCCGGCGCCCCACACTTCCCACATCTCCCACTTTGCCATCTCCCACCACCAGCCCCGCTCCCGCGTGCCCTCAGGGTGCCAGAGCCCGCCGGGGCTGGGGCGCTGACCCTCCAGCCTGGTATAGCACACCCCTGCTCCGAGTCTCAGCCCCCATTTTGGGGGAAACAGGAGAATTTGGGCATTTTCCTCCCCACGCTGGTATTGGCGATACCCAGCCCGGCGCTGGTGGCTCCAGCACTCACTTCCCAGTGAATCCCAGGCTGAGCTTCACCAGTGGAGCCCAGAGGGTTTTGCTGGGTCGTATCTGCCCCGGCCCCCCCAGAGCAGCGCGGCCCCCCCAGAGCTGGGGGAAGCAGCGACCCCCAGGGGCCCCCAGGCCGGGGAGGGACGGAGCGGAACACCCAGTGCCGCGGCCCCTTCCCTCCCCGCAGCACGACCCCCGTGTCGGCCGAGAGCTCACCCAGCAGCAGCAGGAGGGCGAGCACCTCCTGCCCAGCCATCTCGGCCTCCGGGCCACGGCGAGGGTAAAACGGAGCCAGGAGAGGCATGGGGCTGGCAGGGGAGGCCACGCCGCGAGCCCTGGGCTGGAATCTGCTCCCCAGGACCAGCCCCGCGTTGGACTTCAGCCCCGCCGTTATCGGCTTCCCAGCCCCGGCAGCGGGGTTTATGGCGAGGCGGTTTGCCAGGCTGGGAGAGTTCACCCGCGGTCCTGCCGCCTGGCACCGCCGCCAGCATCACAGGCCGCCCCAGGAGACCTGTGCGTCCCCAGGAGACCTTCAGCTGCTTTTCCCCACTGAACCCCTCTTCTTCAGCTCCTGTTTTCCAACTGTGCTGAGATGCTGGGTGCTGCTCTGACCCCGATGGGGCCAGCTCGCACAGTCCGGTGGCACACACCGGCTCGGCGAGGGAAAAGGCCACTTCTTTCTGCCAAGCCAGTGACGCTGCCAGCCCTGGAGAAGCTGGCACCTCTGCCAGGGGCGCGGGGGCCGTGCCCTGCCAGCTGCCTGGGCTGCATCGCGTCTAACCACAGGGAGAAACAGTCCCTGAGCGTAAGGAGCAGCGGGAGAGCCTTTGGGTGCAAGGCACAGGTTTGGGCGCCGGGCACAGGCTCTGGGTGCAGGGCACGGGCTGGCAGCACGGTGCACCCTGGCCAGGGAGGGCGGCTGTGCTGGGGGCAGGGGAAATGGGGTGCAAGGAGCAACCCCCAAAGCAGGAAAGGTATAAAGGGGTCACGATGCACCTGGGCAACGGGGAGCCACAGCAGGCAGGGATCCGTAGGACTGGGGGGGTTTAGCCATTAAAAACGTTGGGGCTTTGAATTCAGAACAAAATTCCGGCTGCCTGGAGACTTGGGACAGGCTGGGAGAAGAGGCAGGGAGAGGCAGGAGGAGCAGCCTGTCCCAGCACCCAGCTGAGCTGGTTTTGCCAAAAGCTGGGGCTCCAGCGCAGCCCCAGGGACCCGCCGGGGCAGCCCCCAGCCGATGGCAGGCAGGAGGGGGGTCCCAGCCTGCCCGCTCCGGGCAGAGCAGCCTGGCAGCCCTGCGCTCCCGCTGCCATGTGCCGCCTGTGCGGCAGCCGGGGGCCCCCCCCCTCCCCCCCCGGGGCAGAGCAGCCTGGCACCCCTGCCCTCCCGCTGCCATGTGCCGCCTGTGCGGCAGCCACCTTCAGAGGGTGCCCAGGCCAGCGCCGAGCCTGGCAGGCTGCCTGCAGCGCTCCCCTCCCAGGCTGCCTCTCCCCTGCCTGTACCCGCCCCAGCAAGCAGCCCCTGGCCCTGGGGACCCAGAGGTGCCATCAGCGGGAGCCAGCCCTCGCCCCTGCCTGCACCGCTCTGCCTGGCAGGAGCAGCTCAGCACGCAGCTCGTGACTGCCGCGGGGCTCTAGGGCCACAACCCGGTCCCTCCTGGGGGGGACAACCCCAGCAGAGCCCCAGGAAAGGCTGTTCAGCCTGGAAGGAGTGTGGCTCAGCAGCCAGAGCCCCCGCACGGCACCACCGGAGCTGCCTGGCGGTGACAACCACTGCCCCTGCCTCAGTTTCCCCACCTGGGCAGGGGGGCTGGCACTGCCCCAGGGGAGCTCTCCTGCCTCCGCTGCCGGCAGCCCCTGTGCCCGCAGAGGGGCCCCTGCTGCTGAAGGCTGAGCGCGGAGGTTTCTCCCCTCCTAGCCGACGGCCTTGGACAGCGGATTGCAGCGCGATTGCATCAGGTGCAGTAAAATGCAGGGTTCAGCTCCTTCCCGCAGCAGGAGCCGGGACAGGCAGAGGCCAGCAGCCCTGCGCCCTCCCAGCCTGGGTGCCCTGGGGCCGGCAGCGCCTGCAGGCAGGAGCCCTGCCCTTCCCACGCTGCCTGCAAACCGGGCAGGCACCAAGCTGACCACGAGCCAGCGCCGTGGCCTCTGGCGAAGCAGCCACCAGCCTCCCGGGTGCCACCGGCAGGGCACCTCCAGCAGGTCTGCTCCCTCCCCTCTGCACCGGGGAGACACGGGGAGATGCTGGGCCCCCAGTATAAGAGAGACATGGGCATACTGGAGCAGATGCAGCTAGGGGCTGTGACGATGATGAAGGGAACGGGACTTCTCACGAGGAGAGGCGGAGAGAGCTGGAGCTGGCGCAGGGGGACGTCACCCATGTGTATAAAGACCTGACGGGGGCAGCGGAGGGAAGGAGCCAGCCTCTGCTGAGCAGCGAGCGGCCCGTGAAGGGACAAGAGACAACAAGAACAAAGCAAGAACATGAAGCACCACTTAAGATTAAGAAAAACCTTTTTTCCTGTGAGGGTCGTCAAAACCAGAGCAGGTTGCCCAGGCTGCTGTGGGGTCTCCATCCCTGGAGAAGCCCAAAACGCACCCAGCCACAGCCCTGAGCAACCTGCTGGAGCTGGCCCTGCTGGGGCCGGACGGGGCCGTCGCCAAGGTGCCTCCAAGCTCTGCGATTTGGTGGCTCAAAGGGAAGCTGTGCTCCTCCATGCGACCGATCCAAGGCCCTCAGCCCCCACCGCCCAGGGTTTGACGCTTCACAGCCACCAGTGTTCGGGAATTAGACCCGTGCACGCGTGACCGCTGGGGGACGCTCACCCCGGCATGGGGGCGATGGGCAGCACCTTGCAGGAGGTATGGTCTAGGCACAGCAGAGCTATTTTTCTAGAGGCCCAGCGCAGCCTCATGCGTGTTCAGGGTACCTGAGCTTAGCCCCCAGCTTTCTTCCCTTCTTCCCCCTCCACCAGCTTGCAAGGCTGGAGGTGGCTTCAGGCACCGTCCTCCGCGGGGGAGAGGGCTCCAGCCCCGAGCCACCAGCCAGGCGGTGGCCCTGCACCCCCGGCCTGGCCCACGAAGCTCATCCCCATCCACCTTCTGAGCTTGGGGCCGGACACCAGGCAGCGGGGCTGAGCTTTAGCAGGTCGTACTAGCCCCACACTGCTCCGGGCACAGAGGAGCCGTCTCCTGCCCGGGCAGCCCACGTCTCTGGCAGCGAGAGGGGAAGGCAGGCAGGCAGCAGCAGGCAAAGCGGCCAGGCAGGAGCCAGCAGCACACAGGATCGCAGCCTCACCAGTGAAACGGCGCTGGGACCAGGGGAGGTGAGGTTCCTCCAGCCCCAGCCTTGTATGGGACGGCGATCGAGCGATGCCCAACCTGACCTGCACGTCTCCCTCGAGCTCTCCTGCCACCAGCAGCTTTTCCCAGTCTCCCCACCCTGCTCCTCACTGGAAGCGCAAGCGGAGTCTCCCTGGGAAATACTGCAGGGCCGGAGCCTGTCCTGGCCGGCCGGAGGACTGAAGTCAAGGAGGATGCTCTGCCTCAAGGCGCGATGAGCTGCCGGGGTGGGAACGGGCATGTTCTTCCAAACCACGCTCCCGGGCAGCTCGGTCCTCCCCCCCTTCCCACGGGACCACCCTGCCCTTCCCTCTGCCAGGCACGGGGACCCATCGCTTTCTCCTCACCTGCCTCAACCCTTCCCAAGGCAAATCCTGACGCACCTTCTGCTGTCCCCACCCCAGACCCTGCCGGCGCCGGGGTCAGGCCCCTCGCCAGGGGCTGGAACCCCGGGGGGGTCATTCCCGCTGTGGGGGGGTACAACCCAGACCCACGGGAGCCATGAACACGCGACCACGCAAGCGGCTGCGCTCGCCAATGTGTTTAATTCTCACATACACACATGGGACAAACCCCCTCGCCACCGGGGAGGCTGGGGCAGAGCACCCACCGGCTTCACCGAGGCTTTGCCGCGCTGTGCCGGGGAGGTGGGGAGCACCCACAGTGCGTGGGAAGTCCAGTGATGGCGGAGAACGGGCGAGTTCAACACAAAGGAAAAACAGGAGAGCGCAGAGCACGGGGAGCCTGCTGCCACCGCCCCGACGCCGGACTGGGCCACACCAGCTCCAGGCTGGTGCCGCGGCCGCTGCCCAGCCAGAGCGAGTCAGTAGCCTTCATCCGCCCAGGTGATCTCGTAGTCGGGATACTTGGCTTTCAGCTTCTCCGTAGTCACGGAGTGGTCCGCTCGCCCAAAGCCCTGGCAGAGGAGTGAGGGTCCCGAGGTAGTGCCGAGGCGGTTACCACCCACAGGAGAGCTCAGCGAAGCCCCGGGGCGGCTCACCGCAACCAGAGGCTCCGGTAGCCGCCGCCGGCAGCGGAAGACGCCGCTGAGCCCGTGTCTATGAAAGACCGATGGGCTCCAATCCCTGCGTGGCAGCGGCTCAGAGCGCGGGCAGCTCGGCCTGGCTCCAGCGCCAGGCAGCAACGGCGCCCAGGCAGGGGGACGGTGCCACCCTGGAGATGGGAAACTGGCACCAGTGTCGCCGGCACCGGTATCCCCGCCACTGGTGTCCCCGGCACCCTCCTGGGGGCACGCAGGGGGACACCCAGGGGACCCGGGCACCCCCAGGTCGGCCCTGGCAGCACCGCTCGGCCCTTCTGCTCCCGAGGGGACGCGGTGCCGCTTCGGCCCCGAGCGGCGGGGGGGGCGACGGGCCCCCCCGCCGCCGCCGGGGGGG